AAACGAGGTAAATTATTGGCAAACAAGTTGATGAAACAAAAATATCAGCTGTCTCGTATAAAGTCATCATTTCGTAAGTTCTATGGTCGATACAATGACCTTGTCAGCAAATACAATTTATCATTGAGTCAAATGCTGACTGATGTTTTTCATTCTAATTGTCAGGCCATTATTTACACACTGAATTGTCGACGGATTTTTCCATTATTTCCCGATCATGACAAGGAGCACACGGCGGGTGTGACCGGTCGGCAGGGGATGCTCACTCCTCCATGGCACCTGATCCCACCTCTGATGTTCTGGAGGTCCGTGTTTGCTCTGCTCCTATTTTGTATTGTATAATGGACTTTCGAGCTTGAATACTGTTCGTTATCTCCATATATTTCAATAAAGATACCACAGAGTCTGACATATCTATTTCATATTTGTATATTTTATTAGGGAAAGACGGTAATGGTAACCTAACAACAAAAATGTATGATAAACGTGATGACTTCAACTTTTCTATCGTCAGCTTCCCTTATTTATGTAGCATTATACAACTATCACCTGCATATGGAGTTTCTAAAACGACGCAAACTATTGACAAACAATTTGACGAACAAGGATACCAACTATTTTGTTAAAAGGCAGCATTTCGCAAAGTCTATGGTCGATACAATGACATTGTCAAATACATTCTTTCGTTAATTCAAATATTGACTATTTTTTCATACAAATCGATTGGCCATTTATTTTACACTGAATTATCTACGGATTTTTTCGTTGCCCGATCATCACAAGTAGCACACGACGGATGTGACTGGTCGACAGGGAATGCTTACTCCTCCATGGCAACTTATTCCACTTTTATGTTTTTAGAGGTCCATTATTGCTCTTCTCATAAAATGTATTGCTGCAGTGGACCTTTTTAGTCTGATTACTATTTGTTAATTTCATATTTCATTTTCAAAATTCAGTTTGTTACCAGGGTATTTTTTTTTATCTTTTACTTTATTACCACACATGAAAAATATGCCATGCATTAATATTTTTTGTTAGCTGCAATAATGTAGTGTAGCCCTCTCCGAGTTTTTTTCGGGGGGGAAGGGGCTACAATTCCACTGCATCTCCGTAATGGTGCAAATATATTTTTTAGATACGGGCGACTGCAGGCAAAATAAATTGTTTTTGCATTCAACTTACTTCCAATAAGACGGAATTTTTATTCACTATCAACATCATACCCCTTTATACGCGAAAACCAAGTAAAATAAATCTCCGTGTTTCCAGCCGTTCTCCTCAGCAGCCATGACAGTTCTCACGTGATGTAATGAGACTTGCGCTTGAAATTTAGAATCACTTGATAATGTAAATGTCGGTGTCGATAAAAGTTTGTGTTGTATGATATCATAAATATCGATAAATTAAAGCATTCCATGTGATATTTTTTCATATACAATGATATTTATGCTTAAAATAAGGGAAATCCATACAGATCCGCTCCCGCAGATCCAGAATTCTCATCGGTTGTCCCAAAATAAAATCGATCAAGGTCAGTAAACATGGCGGATAAATTCAAGTTGTGATGTCGACATACACGAAATATAACCGATATACGGTCTGTTCTGTATATTTTTGGATCAATTCATGTTCTGCATAACTACATTTTATGAGTTCAGGTAAGATATGTTAATAAAATACCCACTTACTGATAATTTGAGCCGAAATCTGTGCGGTAGTGAATCACTCCCGCACTTGCACCATTACGGAGATCCTAAGGAGTTGTAGCCTTCTCCCGAAAACATCAGATTACAAAAAGTCGGAGAGGGCTACATTATTGCAGCTAATTTTTTGAAAGATCTAATTTAGCCTAGATAAATGAATTATCAAACTTATACTCTTCGCAGTCTCACCCTGGAATGTAAACATAGCAAGTTCTATTTCAACAATAATATTTCTATTAACACGGTGTTTAAATTCATGAAACATACCAAATTATATTTTTAAGTTAACTTCCTACATGTACATAAACTAATTTTGGCCATCATCCAACTCGAGATCTACACATTAAAATTGCTACAGTTTCATCTGATTAAAAGTTTTTGAAATATTCAGTATCGTGTCTATCCTAACCGGTTGCACATTTCCCAGTTTTTGCTGATTTCTATGGCCACAAATAAACTTAGCATAGTTCCTTTAGGTAAAATCGAGAGTATAAAAAAGGAATGAACTAAAAGTTTCATGTTTGACTATTAAAATTTTCCCCATAAAACCTGTTTCCAAAATATCCAAAATCTCATGGATTTTACATTGACGAAAATCTATCAAGGTTCTTACCATTAGACGAACCCATGTTTAATTCTGGGTTTTGAAATATAGTTTTATAGTTTATAATTAAGAACCAGTAAAGTGAATTTTGATGTAAACAAAATTATCTTAATTTGCCATGCCAAATTATTTAAACTAAGGCAAACAATCAGATTTTTAATATTGCATTTTTTTCCTCTATTCCATTAAAGTTCACTTAGAATACTAGACAATATATGTTACAGTTTTGTTTTTAAAGAGACATTATTCATGTTGGCCACCAGAATTGCTGTTGCTTCATCCACTACCTTATAGGCATTCTCTTTTGAAAAACTTCCTACATCTTTGATTCTCTCTGGTTTTATGGAAATATTACAATAGTCGTCACTTTGACTGGGCTTCTTGGTCTTCTTTTTTCCGTCGATCGCTAATTTCTCGATTTTTCCACATTTTCTCTGGCTTTTAGTGCCATTACTTTCTTCTCTTAATTCACATGTTCCCTTCAAACTTCTACCTCTATTTTCATTTTCAGTTTTGTTTTCCGTTTTCGAGGAAGCTCTTTCATTTGTTCTGCATACTTCTTCTGGATATATTATTGCTGTCATCTGACTCGACGGAGAATCGTCCCTTTCGGAGTCGTAACTATCAGTTTTGTCGTTATTTATATCTTCACTCTCTAGATCTGCGTCATTGACTGGCTCACTTAAGTTAATTTTATTTGTTTCCAAGGGATATGTTTTATCTTTTTGGCAAACCTCTGCTGAAATTTTCATTTGATGTTGTTGGAAATTGTTCTCTTTACATTTAATATCATTAGTTTTATCATTATTTTTATTTGCTTTATTCGTATCTGATTTCTGATCGGTCTTTGCTATCATGTCTATCTTCTCATGCATTACCATCTTTGGTTCATGGACTTCTATGCTTTTATCATCATTACCACCAAGAGTCCCCTCAGTTTCAGCTTTCTTCTGAATGCTGTCATTCAATAGCTCAGCATTACTCACAGTTGTGTCTATAAAATCCAGTTTCTGTTTGCTGTAAATCTCCTCATCCTGGTTGAAGGTCATCGATATTTTCTTTACTTTCTCTACATGGGTGTATTCAGCTTCAGGTGATGTCAGTATTTTTCCTCATCACTGGGTTTGTGGATGCATGTTATTGCTTCTAAAATCGGTCTACCATCATTTTCATTGAAATCTTTCTTCTGTATGGATTGCAACTGTCTATAAAGCTGTCGTTTAATACACCTACAATTAATAAAACTTAATGATACTGACAAAATCTTTAATAGAAATCGTGGATTTATAATTATGAATAAAAACCAAAACAAAATGAAAAAAGAGTCAGTTTTCAAGGAAAAGGATGCTAACCAATAAATACACATGGTGTTGAAAATGATTAACAAGGCAAGCACTCCAACAAGGACAGGCAGGTATGTTTTGTAGTTTTCCCAAAGGTAACGCCAAAAGCAATCCAGCACTGTAAAATATAGAATTGAATCAAGTAATATCAATTGTAAATCTAATCCGGGAGAGTCTTATAATATCACGATGAATTTTTATTTATTCCTATTAAGAGTACAAAATGACTTAATTTTTTAAGATAAAAAAATTACCTTTTTACAGTGGATACTTACTCCTATACTCGTGCGATCCCACCTCTGACAGAGACCCATGTTTCTCTGTTCTCAATTTGTATTGTTTAATTAACTTTTGATGACATTTGGTTATTAAAGATTTTTAGTAGTTGTGACATTAATATTGAATCATTCCTCATTCGATCAAAAGAAATTGAAGTTGTCACTGATGGAACACGTAAAAATCATCATTCAATATAAACTTATTTTTCACCAATGCAGCTCATTTTTACCTTCTCCAGTATTGTTGTAAACAACTTCGCACTCAGTCGTAGGTTGTAGAGTAGATAACTCTTTTATTGATTTTTCCAATGTTGTTCGGCAGACATTTCTTTTCTCAAGGGGACAGCTGAGAAAACGAAAAAAAAAATAATTTGGTAGAATAACACAGTAGTCACATTAACCTTTCTAAGGGGAATAAAATTTTTTTGAGCATTTATAACTTTAATTTTAACAACACAGATTATCAAAGTATTTAAAATTACCTCAATTAATTAGACTTTTAGTACATAATTAACACTAACGACGGTTACCAGCAAACACAGACCTTTAAAAACATCAGAGGTGGGATCAGAATTCATGGAGGAGTAAGTATCCCCTGTTGACAGGTCTCACCCGGCGTGTGCTCCTTGTCATGATCGGGTATTCCGCAGACAATTAAGTGTGAAAATGGCCTAATAATTTGTATGAAACATTCAGTCAACATTCTTTTTATTAGAGTTTGTTTACAGAGTATTCAAAGGATGAAAGTAGCAACCAAAAAAAAAAAAAAAAAAAAAAAAAAAAAAAAAAAAAAAAAAACCACTACCAGTATTAGTTAATTTTAGGAAGTGTCTTTATTTATCTATTTATCCATCTCTTTTTTTCTCTGTAAATAAAAAAAGTACATAACTTGAAAGGATTTTAAGTTAGTTTGTTTTGCAGTTAATTTATTATTAATAGAATTTAACAATTTTATTTTACAACTGTCAGTGTAAGTTAGAGCATTTATATAATTGACATCTTGATCAAATGAGGTAACTCTAGGCTCATTTGAAAATGTATGTGTACATTTTTATGTTTTACTAAATTCATGTATTATCCATTTTTTTTATTTTCATTGTGTGTTAATGCTTTCCGTTGGCTTCTGTGTCGACTTCTGATTGACAGTTCTCAGAGATTACAGTCCCAGTCTCAGAAAGGAAATGATGGATTCACAGCCAGGAATAACAGTCAGGCATACTTCTGCAGGTCACTAGCTCTAGCTTATATAGAGGTAAATAGAAGATATAGGTCACTAGGTCACAGCTAGGAATAACAGTCAGGCTTACTTCTGCAGGCCCCTGACTCTAGCTTATACAGAGGTAAATAGTAGATATAGGTCACTAGGTCACAGTTAAGAATAACAGTCAGGCTTACTTCTGCATGTCCCTGGCTCAAACTTATATAGAGGTAATATAGGTCACAGTTAAGAATAACAGTCAAGCCTACTTCTGCAGGTCACTGGCTCTAGCTTACAGTGGCTGCAATGTATTGTTGACAAACCAATCGTGTAGAATAGTTCGTGAAACATGCGTGATCGGGAGATCATGTGTGTCAGGCTCAATCGTTTGCGGTTTTAATTGTGCACGATCATGTGGTAAGAAACGTGAAAATTTCGTTTTGTAAGTTTTTATCGGAATTTAATTTGTTAAACAAGCATTTCACTTGTCTGGTTTTTTTTAAAGAAATGAAGCGTGATTTACTTAATTGAACGAACTAATTATCGCTGGTAAAAAAAAAAGCAATACAGTAAGTCGTACAATATTGTATTCTCTTAAAATAGTGCAACATCTAATGATAAAACGTATTTAAGATGTTCAACGATATTTCTCTGATGTTAATGATGTTTACTGCTAATTGTGGTCAAGGTATTTTTTATTTCAATGCATCAAAAATGTATATTTTTACAACAAAAAAAAATAATTATAAATGCTTACATAAATATTTAGTTGGCGAATGAACACGACATAATTGTCGGGGTTACTTTTTTCTGTATTTATCCCTGATATTAATTTTTGCAAATGACTGAATGGTAAAATAATTGCTGATTTTATAGATTCACAAATGGAAAGATGGATATAGCTTTAATTCATTTTTATGCCATTTTTTTTTACCTTATCCTTCCTTACTGCATATCAGAAACTCTTAATAGAATCAAAATTCATGACCCACTTTTATCATCTGATAGAACATGCAGTAATCGATCATAAATTACATTTTTACATATCCAAAAGGTAAAAAACAAATTCAGTTTTCCTTAGTAGGAGAATTACGTAAATAATTATTTGTAATCTAAAATAACTATTCACTCTTATTTAGTTTCAAAAATATCAAGTACATGAATTGCATCAATAATTATTTGTAATCTAAAATAACTATATTAAGCCATATATCGTTTTGAAAATATCCACTCCTAAATATTTTAACTGTTTTGTGTGAAGAATCGTGCATTAGCAATCATGAAAGAATCGTGTGCTTGAGTGATCCTTCGTGTAACAGATTTAATCGTGCGGAATTGTTATGATCGTTTGTGCATGTTGTCAACAATAACGTTGCAGCCACTGTATTTAGAGGTAAATATAGGTCACTAGATCACAGCTACATGTAAGAATAACAGTTAGGCTTACCTAATTCTGCTGGTTACTGGCTTTAGCTTATATAGAGGTAAAAGTAGGTCACAGCTAAGAATAACAGTTAGGCTTACTTAATTCTACAGGTTACTGGTTTTAGCTTATAGAAGTAAAAATAGGTCACTAGGTCACAGCTAAGAATAACAGTTAGGTTTACTTAATTCTGCAGATTACTGGCTTTAGCTTATATAGAGGTAAATACTGTAAACATACTTTTTCTTCTGGGTCATAATCTCATTTGTATTCAATCCACAGGTAGAACATTTTGCAGATTTGTTGGATATCATAGGAATGTCTTAAATTTTAGGTAATATGCAGTTTCTATTGGAAAATTTGTGATCATGTAAATTATTCCCAAATGGAAAAAAAGTACATCTACAGTAGTGGATATAGGTCAATATTATCATTAATGAAGGATATAGCAAACTGATTTTGTGCCCCATAGACTAGGGGCTCCAAGGGTCTAATTCAGCCACAAAAATACAGAATTAGTCAAAAAGTTAGTCAAATACAGAATTATTCAAAAAATTTGTCAAAAAAAAAAAAAATGAACTCAGCTTATTTTTCACTAAAGGAAGTGTATTTCATTAATACACAAACTTCAGAAAATGGAGTATTTATGATGTAGTCTTTGAATAGATTGCAAAAATCATCATAATCTCGCAATTTTAATCCTTAATTTGATCAAATATAATACCTCCACAAGTATGCACAAAAATAAATTTATTTAAAAATATTTATTATAAAGTATCTATCAACTGTTAAAGTAATGTATAATTTTTTTCTAAAATGGGTCCAATTTTGGTCATTGAATTTTTTTCCTTAGCTCTTTTTAAAGATCTTGAAATTTAATATAATATATTATAATTAACTGGCATAATTTTTTTTCGTAAGTTCTGAATCTATATCTTATGACCAGCTAACAGTCCTTGACCGGTTTGTGACCTTGTTACGAGAGGGCAAAGATGGAGAGCCTGTTCCTGCAGATCTTGTTCAAGTTTTGGTCCGTATTGCTGCTCTGTTCGGACTCTGGAGTCTTGAGAAACACCTGACATCATTGTATCAAGGTAAATCTGAAATCACTATAGCCCAAACAAAACGATTGATACCAATGTAGATGATACCATTGTAGATGATTAACATGGATAATTTTAATACTGATAAATAATTTACAATCTGGTACAATTGAAGTTAACATGGACGAATACATCATTTCCATTCATTGAAACAACAGGAGGATACAATATCCGGGGGGGGGGTATTAAAACCTAAATGTACATATATTCCATTTTCATCACAAGAGAGTTTTACATACACCACTGTTGGTTCACTTAAAAAATAATATTCAATGCAAGTAGGTCATATAAAGGTTTGAAACTGCACCTGTGTGCATGAACTCCAAACCGGACACGTGGTCATAAAATCCTTAGAAAAATGGTTTTACTAAATATAAATACAAAAAAAATAGTATTTAGAATAACAAAAAATATTAGAAGTCAATACATGTATCTAATCAGTGTACACGAATGAAGGACATTACTTTAGGAGTTCAATATGCCAATTATATTTATCATGCAGACGTTACCGATGTTTTTTTTTTTTTTTTCAAGCTCGAATGTCCTGCATTGCAGAGAAGAATGGAGGGGGGGGGGATCTTAAAATTGCAGAAATTGCTTATTCATCTTCATTTAAATGCAGATGTTTTATATTTGTGATAAATACAATGTACATTACATTTTTTAAGTAAAATATACTTTCCAGCTAGGAATTTTTATTTGTATTTGTAGAACCATAGCATTGTTTTCGTCCCAAGTCTGAAAGACGCTGTGAGAAACGTAACTTACGGAGAGGGGGGGGGGGGTAGATTTTCCGCTATAAATTCAAAACGCGTCGTTTAAAAATTTTTTAAAAAATTATCAGGAACATTTTGATCATCAGTTACAAGAAGTAATAATTTTTTTCAAAATTAAAGGACAGATTTTTTCATTAAAAAATATTTCATTTGAAAATCACGCATTTTTCAATGCAAAAATGAAGCATAGTTTTTCAGTTTAAATTCTTCAAAATCGTTTTTCTCGAAGTGTACCTCTACAAATTCACTTTGTTTGTGTGTTTAATAGGTAAACGAACGATTCAGCAAATTTTGACAGATAGGCTAACCTTAAATATTTTAAAATAAGGGATGTTATAGTTAGTTTGTTGAATTTTTTTTGTACTCGTGATCAGCCAAAGGGGGGTAACTTTTGGAACTTCCTGTCCAAATTCGACTCGAACGATTTTGACCAAAATGTACATACACATAGTAGATATGGTCATGTATAAGATATACAAAAATAGCGAAAATTAAACGACAGGAAATTTTTGGGGTAGGTGTGTTGTACATCCTTAACGCGTGAAGTGTTTTATTTTTCAAACTCAACGGCACGTGTTTGATCCATTGATTGCGTGTCGGCCCTTCATGACGTCACAGAGAAATTATGTCTAACGTTTATGACGTGAGGAACCCATGTTTATACAGATATAGATACACACTGCTTTCAATGGTGTTATATAAAGGAAAGGATTTGCAAATGTAAATATTGTAAATAATGTATGACAAATTATTTATTATTAATAAGTGCTATAAAATTTGATCTTACTCATTGGTTATAGACCAGATTTAAGCTGTACCGGTATATGAATTATACAGTGTATTTACTAATATAGTGGAGTCTTGATAATCAGGATACTAATGATCTGCAAAATCACTTTGGGGATTAATAAATTTAGTTTACTGATTGACAAAATTATTATCTTATCTAAGGGTTATCTCTCTTACTGCTGTACCCTCAACACAGAATGATTAAACAGAGCTGGACAATTTTCTTCTGTACATTTACATGTACTTAGAAGAAGTTAGGAATGATGATGGAAATTGCTCTTAATGTATACAGGTAATCTCGGGCCCCAGCAGAGGGTATCATATATGTATTTGGTATAGATTTTAAGAGAGGTTGATTTCTATCAAATATTAAGATATTTTTCAGCTGCTTGTGATAGGCATTGGCATTTTATGAAGTCATTTTTCAGGGTATCCATACCCTTCAAACTAATTTTTACTAACTCCACCTCCTCTAGAGGAACATTCTTAAAATTCTGTGACTGTTGATTGGTTAACTGATAAATTCATTGATTCTCTGCCCTATGTTTTTATACCCCTGCAAATGAAGTTTGAAGGGTATAATCATTATGGTTTAATCATGATTTGATATAAAATGTCCAAAAGGTCTGTCAAGATTCACCACCATTTTTGTTTGCAAGAGGTCAAAGTAACATGACATACGAAGTAGAAGTTAAAATTTCTTAAGGTCATGATATTTTCATGCTAAAACTACGGATGTACATGATTTCATACAAAACACAAAAGTTTTACAACCATTAACAAATTACTAGTACATTTAAAACAGCTAACAAATGAACTCTGCCATCATGCGAAAGAAATTTATTGTCATGGCCTGAATCTTTTGGAAATGTCAGGTATTCCCCTACTTTTAGTTGCCCTATAAGGGGTATTCGTCCTATTAGGAAATGAATGATTCTTTCATAATTAGAACTGTCTTAGCCAACATATAAGAAATACATTCTTTGGATTAATTTCTTTATTTTGAAAAATGTGGGAGGGGGAGATAGCAATAGCACAAGGATGTGCTGCTTTAGATGTATGATTTACATAGGTTGTGGATAATTGTTTTAGACCCCTGCATGAAATATTTAGGAATCCCATTGGTCATCCATCTGTCTGTCTAGCTGACTGGCTGTCTGTATTCTATGATGAAATATTTAGGAATCCCATTGGTCATCCGTCTGTCTGTCTAGCTGACTGGCTGTCTAATTCTATGGTGAAACAATAAATCAAAAAGTTTACATTGTTAGAATTTCAAATTTTATACAAAAGGAGTTTATCATAGGAAAACGCTTGTATAATAATAATACTTCTTGATTGAATACTATGATCTCTCTGTATGCATGTCTGTATTTATTTTTAAATATCAATAATTCTCACACACACTCGATTGATTGCTCTGAGTCACCTTCATTATGTGCTATATTTTGTTCCTAGCATTGCTGTACTAAGTACATTTGTCACTTCCTCACACAGAGTCATAGTTTGTCCAGAAATAAAATGTATGTTTTATCAGAGTGTTCCTCTCAATGAGTTCAAATTCTATCTTATGTAATAAATAAATCAGGGTTTATAAATAAAAGTACAAAGTACATAAAAGAAGCCTGCTTCAAATTAGACTATGAACATCATGTGGATCAACAGTTGAACACCTGTTTATGACAAATTAATGCTATAAAAAGTAAATATGAAAGACATTTTTGTAGATGGAATTGTGTGTGATGTGTGCATTTTGTTAGTAATTTAATGACATTTTATATGTTTTAATCAGTGAAGTTTGTACATTTAAGAATAAAGACCCTCCTCATGACACTTAATGAAATACTTGAAATATACTTGAACAATACTCGTAGACAAGCACATAAGCATTTGTAAACACATGGCACACTGTATAGATTAAAAAAGCGGAAATATATATCAAACACAAAGTTCCGTGTTAGACGGAAGTTTTGGATATTTTCTGCAAAACTTTTCATCTTTTTGATTTAGAAATAAAGAACATTTTCCTGGGGGATTTCATAATTTTAAAAAAAAAATTCCTGTTTCAGTAAATTAAGGTTTTCCTGGTAAGTTTACAAAAATGGAAAATTCAGAATATTCATAAATAAAGCAAGTAGCAATTACATGAATAGAAGTTTTAGCTATAAAAGAAATTAAAATACATTTGAGTTATAAAATGTTGACAGACTTTGATGCTGGGTTAAGCCATCTTTATGACATGTAATCTTTATTTGACCAACTGATTAACATATGCATTCTATACCTAATTATTTTATAATAAACAATCTTTTCCATTCCAATTTAAAAGCATTCCAAAACTGTATAAGACACATACTGATTATTACTGTAAAATCACTTTTTCATAGAAAAAAACATTGATTTGTGAAATTTAATTTTCTGAATGATGATATTTTGAGATGTTATATACTTAAATTTTAACATTTCATAAAGGACATGAATTCATGGGTCTATTCATAAAAAAAGAAGAAAACCCCCATGAAAAATTAATGATTTTGAAGGTATTAACCCTCACTGTGCATGTTTCAGACAGTATTATCAGCCTTGAAGAACTGTGCATGTCTTATTTGCCTTTCTTTTATCTCTTTATCTCTTTTAAGAATGGCCTTCTCTATTTTACAGGAGGCTATGTGCTTGGTACTGAGGCCTCTAAGACTGTGGGAGGTCATTTCACAGCTGAATTATGAACTTGATGTATCTGTATTTTACAGGAGGCTATATACCTGGTAGTGAGGCCCCCAAGACAATGCAGGAGACCATTTTACAGCTGAGTTATGAACTTGATGTATTCTGTATTTTACAGGAGCCCGATATACCTTGGTAGTGAGGCCCCCAAGACAAAGCTGGAGACCATTTTACAGCTGAGTTAAGAACTTGATGTATCTGTATTTTTTACAGGAGGCTACATATCAGGAAGTGAGCCACCTAAGATGATCAGGGAGGCCATTTTACAGCTTTGTTATGAACTTAAAGATGATGCTGTGGCTCTCGTTGATGCCATTGCTCCTACAGACTTCATTCTGAATTCTCCGATTACAAGATCTGATGGACAGGTATTGATTTCACTCTGAATTCTAACATTAGAAAGTCTAAATTGGATGGGCAATGACTTTCCTCAGTATTGACAAAGTTATAATTAAAATTTGATAAATTACATAAGAACAACTTAGATGTGAGTGATATTTATAGGAGGTACAATCTATTCTGTTTTTTTTCCTTCTTTAGATTTATAAGAACTTGTACAGTGCAATGATTCAAGGACCCAATGCTTTAGAAAGACCCACTTATTGGAAAGAATTTGTGGATAAACCTGTAATTGGAAGCAAGTCCAAATTATAAAATGAAACTCTTCTTGTTAGAGCTTTGCTTAACAAGTCAATATATTTTGTGTATAATACATTTATCACCAGTGACAGATATTATTTACAACATATCAATAAAAAGAGAATACAAAACATGTACATGTACATGTATGCTAAGATTTTATTCTACATGAAGAGAAATGAAAGGCCATAGAAATCAGTACTATGATTAATACTTTGTTAATCGGTCATTTATAAAATGTCACTCATTTCCAGAGGATTTAATAAAGCATGGAAACATTGTTGATGGAAGAAAAGAAACAGCCTACCCTGTGTGTGATTGTGAAATTTTGATTCCAGAAGATTCCTTATTAACTGGCTCCTTGTAAAAATGAAGTACAATTTTAACATATTTAATTACTTGATTTACTTATGATATAAATCTTTAAGGTCTGATGGCATGTTCCTTGAATTTTTTTTTGGTTCTCTTAATAGTATACCAGGAATATTTATCTAATTTATTAATATTACCTTATGACTTCTAGACTTGTTGCAAAATAAAAAAAATGTATATGTATATTAAAAATTGTGAATTCGGTAATTTTCAGAACTTCTAGTAGGATTTTAAAGTAAACCATCCTCTGAAATCTTGCACAAAGACCTCAATCTTATAGAAGCAATACCTCAAACACAAACTCTTATCTATATTATATATGATTTAAGGAAAGTTTCATCAGACCCTAAAGGTGATACTTTATGACTACTGTGTTTTGGTAGAATTACATAAAATTTATATATCAGTGTTAGACTGAGGACTTTAGAATGCAATGAATGACTACAGAGGGAATCAAAATTCCTTTATAGGGAAATCTGCAACATACTTTAGAGCAAATTTAGTTGTGTTTGTTAAAGGCATTGTTATATGCATGAATAAACTGCTGAGATTCATTTGAAATAATGTTTATTTTATTTTCTTATTTTTTTTATGTTGTATATAAAACTAGACATCAATTTTAAAGTAAATGAATCCAATTTTGCTTATTTGCAATGTAATCTTTTAGGAGTCTCAGAAAAATCATGTAGAGTGTAGTTTGGAGTCTGTAGACAGTTGTTCAGAGGGAGGTCAGCTTACTATCATTCCAATAACAGTGTGTCACTTTGTTTGATTGATCCTGCTTAAGTTTCAAATGTTGATCATGCACCATATTTCTCATCGATTGGATGTTTGATATCAATAAAATGAATATTACTTTGCATATGAAACAGAGAACCCAGCAGTACACTGTTAATACTGACCAATCACATTGAATGATTGTTTACGAGTACAGTATTTGTAATAAGGAGCAATACATGGTCAGTCAAAGCCCATTGCTGGATTCTCTGTTCATAAGCAAAATAGTATTCATTGAAGTCAAACATCCAATTGTTGAAAAATATAGTGATCAACATTTGATACTTTAACATGCTCGATCAAACAAAATGACACACTGTTATTGGAATGATAGTAAATTCCTGCTTGGTCAGTCATATTTAAAAAAGTTTTTGAATGAACCATACTTAAAATCATTGACCATTGATATTAAATTCCAGATTATACTTGTTATGATATATGATAATTTCTAGAGGTGTGAAGAGCAAGGTTCACAAGGACTATGTTTGGCACTATAAAATTCTGAAAATTAAAATTGTTCATTAATCTTGGACTTTGTATAATTCTATGTATTATGATGTTATGAATTTTGTAATTATTCCGGATTCATGAACATTTATTTCACTATGACTATTTTTTAAAAGCTTTTTATTCAGAAATTGTTGATTAAATAGAAGTGCAAGTTCCTGTATCAAAATTACAAGGAAGTATTGATAGACATGCTTCAAAAGTTTCATTTTTTTAATTTTTTTTTTTGTTTCAAGGGCTGTGATTATCATGCTAAAAGTACAGTGTGTGTGTACACAATATCATTTCTTTCTCTTCTAGGATTGCCATTCATATTGATTACGTTTAGTGCATTGTAGATAACCAAAACAGCAAGTTCATCATGTTATTTTAAGTTATTCATGAAATTAAAAAAATCAAACATTAAGATAAAATTTTTGAGTCTTCTTTAAATGTACTCAAAGACACAATTTTTCTGTAAAATGAAAATAAAAAAAAAATTGCTGTTCTGCAATTCTTTTTCTACAAATGGAGTACAGATGATATTTGGAACTCTAGAAACTTGAGAAGGTGCTTATGTAATCACAGCCTTAGATCAGAGGTCAAGATTGAAACCTCTCTGTGTGAAATCCTTTTCCTTAGCTTATTTTCTGTCCCCTAGGCCCAGTCAGGTTCAAACTTCATTTATAGAGTACCTGTGGGTAGAGGGTATGCAGCGACTTTGAACCAATTTACTAGATCAAAGGTCAAGATCGAAAAACCTCTCTGTGTAAAATCTTTATGCTCTTTCACTGTATGTAATCAATAGAGCCCCCCCCCCCCTTTCTCCCGAACCCCCGACCCTGGGGCTATTATCTGGAACATATTTTCTGTCCCATTGAACCAGTTTGGCTAATACTTCACCTGTTGAATGAATACCTATGATAGATAGCATGTAGCGACCTTTAATCAATTTTCTTGATAAAAGACCTGTCCAGGACAGAAAACTTATTTGTGTAAAATCCTTGTCCGGGGAATATTTTCTCTCCCCCTTTAACTCTACCTGCCTCAAACTTCACCCATAAAAGTACCCATTGGGAGAGGGTGTGCAGTGTCCTTTAGCTAAGTTCCTGTGTTAATGGTCAAGATTACAGCAAATCTTTGTAAAATTCTTTTCTTGGGCAGTTTTTCTCCTATTGGTCCAATCTCACTCAAACTTCACCCAAAGAGTGACCATGGATAAAGGGACTTTCATCCTAATATCCTTTGCTAAAAGCGGGGTTCTTTGAAATGGTCACAATTTCAACAATGTCTAGTATCTAATCAAATTAGATGCATGATACAATCAAATGGAAGTGTGTTATTCGATAACAAAAGTACTCATGACAATGTTCACATGAGCATGACTACATAATTGTGTGGTGTACACCTTGTGACACCTTGTCATGTAAAAATTCGTATCCATGCTTTCTTAATACTGATAGTTAAATAAGTGATTCATATATTTCACATGTTTAAGAGCCACGGTCGTCATGGTTATAGTTCATAATATAAAATCTTATGTTCTAGACAAATCGCTGAGATAACAACAAGATTTTGTTGAATTTAAAGGTTTGTGATGCATTTTTGTATATATTAATATTAACCTGGTCTATATGTTCATAACTTGCAATAAAAGCATATTCTAGAAGTGGTGTAAATCAAATATGGATTCTCAAAAACTCCAAAGAACTTAGGAAAATTTAAAATTATCAATTTTTTCAAAAGTCAGTACATGTAAAAACGTACGACTTTTCTACACTTTATACAACCATTTCTCAAAATAAATTAAAAACAAGAATATGTGTCCCCCGCGTAGCATCCGGAAGACCTCGGGCCTTTCACAGAAAAACACGTGTTTTTCTGTGAAAGGCCCGAGGTCTTCCGGATGCCCCGCGTAGGGAATAAGAGGAACACCCCCCCCCCCTTGGATTTGTAGAATTATTAAATGTATACATGTATATTGTAGCAAATAAAAAAAATGCCAATATGGATATAAAGATTTGATTGCTTATTCTTTAATATGTGTATAGAAGATTATTTTTATATAGAATGTTCATCACACTGTAATTATATGAGCTTGTACAAGCCAGACGTCATGTAACTTTTTCATTTCACATACTGAATACTATCATTTAGTAAATCCAAAAAAAAAAAAAAAAAGATCGTCATGGATTTGAACCCGGGACCCCTCATATGCTAAGCGAGAGTCATACACCTAGACCTCTTCCTTGTAAACTACCTAATTAAATTATGTGAACATTAGGTCACATATAACGTTTATATTCACGTCCGATATTGTCAAAATTTTACACAATACATGGTGTCTAATTTACATGTAGCGTTTACTAAACAGTTCTAATACATGTAATAAGATTATAAAGTCCGCCGACAACCTGTATTATACGTAACAACTCTCCACATGCCCCTGTCCTAAAAATAGTGCCAAGCGACTTTTAATACAATAAATAATAATAATAATAAAAAACCGGGGCGGGGCACTTTGAGAGGGGCGAGAGAGGCCTTAGGGAGTTATGGTATAAAATTTCATTGCAAAAGCTCAAAAGCTTCTTGAGATATCGCCCGGAAACGAAAGTGTTACACACAGACGGATTGTATGAATTTACCTTGACCTTGACCTTTTGACCTCAAAATCAATAGGGGTTTTCCTTAGGCCATAGGGAGTTGTTACGTAAAATTTCATTGCAAAAGCTCAAAGGGTTCTCGAGATATCGCGCGGAAACGAAAGTGTTACAGACAGAAATACAGACGACCCAAATTAATATCCCCCACTTTCAGTGAAAGCGGGGAACAACAATGCTTTTTGATAATAAAGACAAGTGCTTTTTCAATAAAAAAAATGGAACTTGTAAATTTTCATATCTTTATTATGATTGGTCATAGCACTTGTCAATTTGATACATGTAGTGCACATCGATCAATCTGTTTTCATTTGATTTTGATTTTGATCTCATATAAATCCATCATATATGTTCTTGTGTTTACTGTATGCAACCATAGGAAGGGTTATGAATGTACATTAAAGTCTATATACTTCATCATGTTGTACGTAATTCCAACATTTCCTCAGTCCTTTCCAAAAATCCCTTTATACATGGTTAAACTTGTGAATGCAACGTAGGGGACAGTTTTTTTGTAACAGAGCAACTGACCAAAACTTCATTAAGAATGTAGAGAATAATAAACTTAGGACATGTCTCGTCCTAAGGTTGCCTTTGTTTTTACAACCTGGCATTTTTTTTTCTCCTCTATAAATTCTTATCAGTGATTTATCCTTTCAGAGAGCGTTTGCTCGGAGAATTCTGATTCTATAAAGCTAAACAATACGCAATTTCCTCATAAGTAAAAAGAGAAAGAAATAAAAGATATAAGTATGCGTGGGTCCACTGTACTCT